AACAACCAAAAATCCAAAATACCAGTTAGAAATTACCATCATAAACAATAAATATAATTTGATTTAACGTTCTGAATTCTGCACTTCACTAAATCCAGTTAAACAGGTCTAATTAAGCTCATTTTGCAACATAATTAGTCAGCATACTGTCATATATACGTCAATATTGTCATATTCCCCACACCTAATCAATACACATATTTATACCAGGGCAAAAAAACACAAGATAATAATAATAATAATAATAATAATAATAAAAACAGTTGTTAGATTCAAAATATTTAACATTTTTATTGTTTTTTTGCAGTTGGTAACGAAACAAAAGGACATTTTCTAACGTTCCTCTGATATAATTAGCATGCTGTGCTAACAGCAGTCATTGTAAGTTGAAATCAGTCACTGCACATTTTTCAGTAAGTTTAACTGAAGCAAAATAAGACGGGTAACTTCTGTGATGTAAACAATGTGCCGGGAAGGGTGCTGGGTCCTATCTCAAATTAGCATTTGCATTGAATCATGAATGTTGGACCTACAGTGACTTAACATAGATTATAAGTATAATGCAGCTGAATCTCAAGTTAAATTAAAGCTGCACTATGTAATATTTTTGTGTTAAAGCTGAAGGCAGATGTGACTGATGAAGATGTGATACAGTAGTAGATGATTCACTCAGAGACGCTCCTTCACCGAGTCTAGACTGAGTTCTCTCTGAGTTCTCTTTCAGATTCATCCACTCAGGAAGAAGCACAACCCACACTACAGTGTTCTGCGTGCAGTTACACATTTCCACCAGAGGGGGCTCCAAATCCCTAAAACCTACACAGTGTAGCTTTATATAAACAAATGTATTTAAATTCACACCTGAATATCTTCTTCTCAACCATGTTGGCCAGGCAGCCATAAACAAACCCATCCACTCTGATTTGTCCTCACCTGTAACTCAAGGAATTATGGGTAGGAGGCTGCTGCTGACTCCGCAAGGATGCTGTCTTTGTTAAAAGGAGACCTTACAGCATCATATGAGAGAAAAAGCACAAAGCCAGGTCTGACAGTCGTTTACACATCTCTGAACGGATCTGACACATACACTCTTTAAAAAGATGGTTCTTCAAGGGTTCTTTAGTAAAGACAATGGTTCTATGTAGCACCAATGTCAAACTTGCAACAATAGCAGAACCCTTTTTGGTGCTATACAGAACCATACACAACCCATCCTCCATCAAGCTGAAGAACTATTTCACCATGTAAAGAACCTTTTAAGCATGCAGATATTTTTGAATGTTCATTGTTCAATACAGAACCATAGTCTTTGCTAAAGAACCCTTGAAAGGCCCTCTTGGTGAGCGCACTAGTTTTCACTGTGTTCTATTGGTTTGTTTATACTGATATGCTTTTTCTAGACCTTTAATCCAGCTCTAGATCCTTTATAGAGAACACTGAGTTGGTGATCTCTTACACCAGCATGTTTTACCCACCCACCCTTCCTCCACCGCTCCACTGCCTGCTCTGTTTACCATTAGCAGCTAACGCTTCTGCACGGAGCCGCAGCCCAGCGGCACATTAGAGTCTTAGAGTCAACACTGGCAACAGTGGCACAGCGAGCCAGATGTTTATTTCACAGTGAAATAAACTCAACAGCCTGATGTTTATTCTGCACTCTGTCTGTTTACAGGGTGGACAAGGGCATCGTCACTGGTTGGAGCTCAGAGTGAGCAACATGATATGAAACGCTCTGTTCTAGAGAAACTCAGTCAGAACTGTTCACAGTGGTGGTGATAGGAACCAGATGTCCACCTCTAAAAGCTCCTCACAGAAAGTTCCTACATGAAATGGTTATGAATTCACTGCCTGATGACTGAGACACTGTTTTATGATAGTTTAGAGAAGAGTTCGGCCTTGTGGTCATGGAGGTCTTTGAAGGCCTGGTCCTGCTACGTTCGTTTATATCCATCCTTTCTAGTTTAGTTATTTCAGTTTTTTATAATTTCATTTTAAATTATTTTATTAAATTAGTTTAATTTTCTATTTTTACTTTTAATATCTCCCAGATCCCATCTGCTGGTGCGTCATGGATTCCCTGACCAACAGGAGACAGCAGGTGTGGCTCGGAAAACACGTCAGACCCCTGGACCCTCATTACTGGAGTTCCACAATGTTGTGTGCTCTCAGCCCTTCTCTTCAGCCTCTACACCAATGACTGTGTCTCTAAGGAACCAGCTGTGAAGATCCTACACCACTGTGATGTGCCTCATAGCCGACGGCGATGAGTCTGCGTGCTGAAAGGAAGTGGAGCAGCTGGTCTCCTGGTGCAGCAGCAACAACCTGCTGCTGAACACGGAAAAGATGGTGGAGATGATACTGGACTTCAGGCGCAACCACCCTCCCCAGCCCACTCTCTCCAAGTTCCTGGGCACCACCATATCCAGGAACCTGAAGTCTCCATCACCAAGAGAGCCCAGCAGAAAATGTTCTTCCCGAGACAGCTGAAGAAATTCAACCTGCCGCAGAGCCTGATGATTCAGTTCTACACAGCGAGTCCATCCTCACATCATCCATAACCATCTGGTTTGGTTCCTCCACCTCATGAGAACGAGACAAACTCCAGCACATAATCAGGACAGCGGAGAGGATCATTGGCTGTACTGCAGCAACGCTTCAGGGCATGTACAACAGCAGGGTGATGAGGCAGGCCAGTGAAATTACAGCTGACGTATTACTTTGGACAGTAAGTAAAATGGCTATATTTGTGTTATAGACATGGCAACCCTGGAACTGAGGGGCCCAAACCCTGAAAAACAGTCCCTCAGTTCCAGCATACAGACATTTTAGGGGTTGCCATGTCTATAACACAAAAACTTTACTGCTGGCTCTGCATTCTGGTAGGTAACGTTCTCCTGACATCCACCAAACCCAGGTTCATCATCAGACTGACAGGTAGAGAAGATTCATCACTCCAGAGAACACGGTTCCACTGCTCCAGAGTCCAGTGGCGGCGCTTTACACCACTCCAGCTGACGCTTGGCATTGAGCATAATGATCTTAGGCTTGTGTGCAGCTGCTCAGCCATGGAAACCCATTTCAAGAAGCACCTTATGCACAGTTCTCATGCTGATGTTGCTTCCAGAGGCAGTTTGGAACTCAGCAGTGAGTGATGAAACAGAAGATTGACCATTTTTATGTCCTTTCGGCAGCCCCTCTGTGAGTTTGCGTGGTCTACTGCTTCATGGCTGAGCTGCCGATGCTTCCATTTCACAATAATAGCACTTACAGTTGTCTGGGGCAGCTCTAGCAGGACAGAAACTTCATGAACCGACTTGTGACATCCTATACCAGTGCCACGTTTAAAGTCACTGAGCTCTCAGCGCTACCCGTTCTACTGCCAGTGTTTATTTATCATGACTACAAGACTATGTGTTTGATTTTAAACACCTGTTAGCAATGGGTGCGGCTGAAACACCTGAACTCGGTAATTAAGAGGGGTGTCCCGGCTTCAGGATCTACAGTGTGAACATCTTTGGCTCCTTGTGTGATGAAGGTGGACATCCATAAACAAACACGTTTGATAGAAATGACACCTCAGTTCTCCCAGTTTATTTGAATATACATTCATTCCAGCATATATAAAACAGAAAAGAACATAAATAGTATGCAGATGACAAAATCACCTTTAAAATGGCCTTGAAAACAGAAGAAATGGACTTAGAGCTGCTTTACATACAAAACATTGGCACTATTCTACGCATGGAACGTCATGCAAAGAATGGAATGTACTGAAGTGTGTGAGATGAATAAAAACGCTATATTCGTACGACAGCAGCTAAATGGATCAGTGTTCCGCAGCATCAGTGTAGATAGGTATCCATAGCGCAGTCTGCAGTATTACACGGTTAAATGAAGACTATATCACAGCGCCGTCTCCAGCGCGATATACTATTGACTATATTGCATAGGCAAAACAGCGCTTCACTTTAAAAGGGAAGCGCAACAGAAGATGAAAAGGACACCGAATCCTGAGATCACGATTCACAGAGGATTTGATCCTCCACCTCAAACGTTACAGGCCAACATAAATAGTCTACAGTTAGCAGGTTTAACTTTGTGTGCCATTATATATATATATATATATATATAAAAAGAGAGAGAGTCAATGGGCACAGCACTGATGATAAAGCCGATACTGACCGTCGGGCTCGTTTACACATATATAACACGTTGAGCTGTAATGAGCTCTGTTTTTTCAGTTGGCTGCACATAAAAGCACCTTTTGGTTTTACAGATGTAGCAACGCGAAGGCAAGACATTCATTTCACAGTCGAGATGTTAAAGGAATATTCTGGCAAAAAGCAAACATTTCCCAATTTTATCGAACCCCGAATGTAGACGATCGGCCGTGCTTGGTGTCTGAAGTTTGCTTCTTTAGCTTTAGCACTGGAGCTACGGGGCTAATGCAGCTAACAAGTTTATGGAGGCTTATGGCCCACCAATTAGCAAAATGCCTAGATCACTTAACTCAAACCATATTTTTGCATATTTAACAGGCTAAGATGTAAACAGTGGTTCAGAGTCGTTCAGAGCGGTTCAGAGTTGTTCAGAGGGGTTCAGAGGGGTTCAGAGCGGTTCAGAGTGGTTCAGAGGGGTTCAGAGTGGTTCAGAGGGGTTCAGAGGGGTTCAGAGCGGTTCAGAGCGGTTCAGAGGGGTTCAGAGCGGTTCAGAGGGGTTCAGAGGGGTTCAGAGTGGTTCAGAGTGGTTCAGAGGGGTTCAGAGGGGTTCAGAGCGGTTCAGAGGGGTTCAGAGGGGTTCAGAGCGGTTCAGAGGGGTTCAGAGTCGTTCAGAGCGGTTCAGAGGGGTTCAGAGCGGTTCAGAGGGGTTCAGAGTGGTTCAGAGGGGTTCAGAGGGGTTCAGAGCGGTTCAGAGGGGTTCAGAGGGGTTCAGAGCGGTTCAGAGTGGTTCAGAGGGGTTCAGAGGGGTTCAGAGTGGTTCAGAGGGGTTCAGAGCGGTTCAGAGGGGTTCAGAGTCGTTCAGAGCGGTTCAGAGGGGTTCAGAGCGGTTCAGAGTCGTTCAGAGCGGTTTGGTGTGAAACGCTCCGTTCTAGAGAAACTTACTGAGTCAGAACTGTTCACAGTGGTGGTGATAGGAACCAGACGTCCACCTCTAAAAGCTCCCTCACAGAAAGTTCCTACATGAAATGGTTATGAATTCACTGCCTGATGACTGAGACACTGTTTTATGATAGTTTAGAGAACTTAAACTCCATTCAAGGTGGAGGGATACATGCAGGGAAGCTTTAATTTTGTCCACGTTTCTAGATAACAATGAGTCACACAGAGTCAGAAACCACTTAATCAAGACTATTAGAGATTCTGAACACCTCCTCACGCTTTGAGGTGGTTTAATTGGTTAATTAGCAGGCTATAAGCTTCTATTACTGGCTACATTAGCCTCGTAGCTCCAGTGCTAAAACTGAAGAAGCAAACTTCAGACACCAAACGTTTCCACTACGTTTGGGACAAGAGGACAAACTGTGTAAATTCAACTGTTTTTGCCAGATTATTCCCTGAATAGACGTTACTGGTTTCTGCCTCCTCACATGTATGAGATGTTACTGGCGGTTAGCCGAGCACATGGCTGATGGTGACACATGCTGTAGTTCTGCTAGGTATCTGGACCTCATGCTCCCTGACGAACCCATATTCTGAGGTTTCAGGCCAGGCCGGTGCTGCGTTCCTCTGCCTCAATGGAGCTGGACCTCAGCAGCTCCTCCACCCAGCGCACCTCCGCCGCCACCTGCTGGGCCAGCGACTCATAGCGGCTCTCCAGCCGGCCGAATCGGCGCTTCAGCGCGTTGGCGGCTAGCGTAGTGGCCCGGGCCTCCTCCTGGCTCTGCCTGCGCTGGGCCTGAGCACGCTGCAGCTCGGACCGGACACGGCCAAGCTCGGCCGCCACGCTCTCGCTCTCCTCACGGTACCATCCCTCCTTCTCCTCGTAGATGGAGCGCAGGGCGGCCACGTCGTCCCTGCAGGTGGAGGTGAGCAAGTTGATAATACAGTTGTATGCAAAGGTTTGGGTCAAATTTCAAGCTTCTGTTGATTTTCTGAGTGTAAATAAGTTACAGATCCTCCACAGAGACACTTCTGCACACTTTAATACACAGTTACTGTTTATTTCCCGAATTTAACACAATGGAATTGGTGAACTCAGCAAATAACACTGTGAACTGACATTTACACATTTAAGCTTGTTATAATTTACCCACATATGCTGGATTATGAACATCCTCTATCCTTATTTTGGGAAAAATTATATTATCTATAGTAACTCATCCAACAAATACCACACACTCCATCCAGAATTTGGAAAATGTTGTGAAAATGTTTTTCCAATTTGGAAAATGTTTTGTACGGAATTGGTGGGGTGATGTCATGTTCACTTTGGTGGCACTACTTTAACTGACATAGCTTTACCTACACACTTTACCTCATTATGCAACTGCATGTTTATTCCCAATATACAAAGAGTCTCTTCTAGGGGAGGAGCTACCCAGAATTCTTAGAAATTGAAACTCTCTCTTATTTTTCATTAATTCTCTTCATAGAAAGCTTTTTTTGTGTTACAGCATTCTGTCATCATGCTAAAGTGACATATTGTTGTTATTTTAACCACATTTATTGCTATTATAAATAAAGTGTTATGATTTCCTATTGGCAGTGTCTTTGATAAAGTTTTTCAAAATAAAAGCCTCAGATTACACCGAGCTCTAGACTCAGCAACGTCAATCAACTTAATTATCTAGACAGTTTGATTTCTATAAGTGTGCTTTGCCAGCAGCAGTAATCTCACGTTTATGTAAACTTTGAAAGCTCTGAAAGCTTTTTAGCAGCTACATAAACAGAGCATCACTGTATTTGATTGGACGGCAGTCTGTTACGACATCATCCAGTACAGTAAATACTGTGATATTTGATATGGTGCACGGTGAAGCTCTCTGCAGGTGTGGTGATGTTCTGTGATGCTCTGTGAGGTTCTGTGAGGATCTGTAAGGTTCTGTGAGGTTCTGTGAGGCTCTGTGAGGTTCTGTGAGGTTCTGTTCTCAGTGTGTGGTCCTCCCTCACCTGCAGGAGCGCTGGCTCTGCTGTAGGCGCCGCAGACCCTCCTCGGCCGCCCCGATCTCCTCCAGTACGCGGGAGAAGCGCTCGAAGTTGACGTACGTGTTGTTGGGGGGCATGCTGGAGTGGGATTTTATCGTGTACTCTTTCAGCCGGGTGGTCTTCAGCCTCCGGCGCTCAGGCCGACGCCCACTGTCCTCCTGACGCACGTTACGCCGCTTTATTACCTGCAGACAATTTATAATATATTACGTATATACATTAGAATAACACATCATAATAATGTATTTAGAATTTCTCACCTTAAACTACTAATCTGTGTAACTGAATCAGACTTTCTAATCTCTCAGTGTTCGCTCTTATTATTACAGTCAAACTCTCAATCAAATTAAGGTTGAAAACGAGAGAGAGAGAGAGAGAGAGAGAGAGAGAGGAAAAGAGATGGAGAGAGATAAAGAAAGAGAGACAGAGTGAAAGAGAGAGGAAGAGAGGGGTGGAGATGGTGGAGAGAGATAAAGAAAGAGAGACTGAGTGAAAGAGAGAGATAGAGAGAGAGGAAGAGATGGTGGAGAGAGATAAAGAAAGAGAAACAGAGTGAAGGGGGGGGCGGAGAGAGAGATGCACTCGGTGAGTGGTGAGAGAGTCTGACCTTGATCCATGGATGCTCCAGACTGTCTTCAATAGTCATTCTCTTCCTGAAAGAGGAAAAATACACGGGACACAGGAATTTACAGACAGGCTGAGATAAAGCAATAATGATAACTATCAGAACGAACCCGTCTTTTCAACATTAATAACGCAGCGTCACTGGAGCGTTACAGTGTGTCTTCATACTGTTTTAAATCATAATAAGCCTTTTGTTTTTATCAGGGTTTAAAATCCCGGTCAGGCTGAAAACTAAGCACAGAGATCATCACCACAGATAATTATCAGTGTAAAATGTTGAAAGCCCCACGTCCAAATCATAAACTCTGCCTCTGAAAGCTGAAATGTCCAAAAAAGGTGCGGCCGGTCAGGGCGGCGGCCGGCCAAATACGCGGTGTTAATAAAGAGCCGAGCTCACTTTGGGTCTTTGACCAGCAGCCTGCGGATGAAGTCCTTGGCCAGTTCGCTCGTGTTGCTGAAGTATTCCTCGTCGAAGTCGTAGTTCACGGCGGAGATGTTGGTCAGGGTTTCCTGTTTAGTCTCTCCGAGGAACGGAGACGCTCCGCTCAGCCTGCAGAACACAATCACTGATCACTACGCGCGAGAACAAAGCCTCACAACAGAGAACCGAAGCACACTGTCATTTTAAACACATCGCTGAAACCGGAGAAACTGCGCAAAGTGTGGATTCTAACTTCTCAGCCCAGACTACATCAGTGTCTGTAAGGACACCCTTAAAATGGTTCTTTAGTAAAGACAATGGTTCTGTTCAGAACCATGACCACTAAAGAACCCATGATGCTTAAAGGATTCTTTGCATGGTGAAACTGTTCTTCAGACTGATGAAGAATGCGTTGTATATGGTTCTATAGCACCAAATAGGTTACAAGCTTGACATTGTAACAATAGCAGAACCCTTTCTGGCATCATATAGAACCATTTTCTAAAAGGTTCTAGATAGAACCATATACAACACATCAATTCTCCATCAATCTGAAGAACCATTTCACCATGCAAAGAACCTTTTAAGCATCCGAAGGGTTCTTTGACCCTTTGAGTTCATACTTCTATATAGAACCACTGATTTTGCTAAAGAACCTTGAAGAACCAAAATTATTATTATTATTGTTATATAAAAGGCCTATTTGGCTTATTAATAGAATTGAAATACTAGGAGGTAATAAAAGCTTACTGATTAAAAATGCACAGAGAGTTAAAATGCTAAACTAGGGATCCTGCCCAATCTGGCAACCTTGATCAGGTTGCTGGCTTGGACATTTACTTCCCTCATGGATGAGCATGAGTTCATTAAAGTGGTAAACGTGGTTATTTATTCATTTAAATGACTTTTTCATGTTCTAATATTTCAATGATCAAACATTTGTTGCAGCTTTATTGCACTGTAATTAAAATAACTCTATTTTAACTCTAAAGCAGACTTTGACTCTGTGCTGCATGCATCATGAGAAGGTGTTTAAAAATGCACAAAATGGTTTATTAAAGTAAAATAAGTTTAAAGAAAGTACAGTGTGAGTACTTTCTGAGTATGTTGCCTTGAAGCAACATTGTTAGACGATGGAACAGAGTGTGAGGACATTTTAGTCTAAATACTTTACATTAAAACTAGGAAACTACATAATTTGTTCATCTTTAATATACAACATGCTCTGCTTTACTAAAATGTTAAAAACAATAATACAGTAATAAAACATACAGTATACTAAATATTATATGACAGAATCGACTGGATCAGGCTTTAAGGCACTAACACTGCACTACTTGTTTGTCCTAAATAAATAAAAACACAAAAATAATCCTAAATAAGACAAAATTCTAAACAAAAAAATAAACAAAAACTGTTCATTTGGCTGCATAAGTGACACTTTACCTGCTAAATCCATTCCACTGTCGCACAATGTTGCTTGTAGGCAACAAAGATATTTCTGCATGTCATACATCATAATTTATATGACTTTGAAAGTGTAAACATTGTTAAAAAAGCAATTCTCCCTTCATTCTTCACTCTTTAGTCGCCAATAAATGTGTATCCCATTATTGTGAAATGATGAAAATGGGTTTGTTGCCCTGAGGCAACACCGTGCAACAGAGGGCTCAATAACCTGTAATGACCACAGAGTAGAAGTCCATAACTGGTGATACTTACAGGATATATGTAATAACTCCAATGCTCCTGCAGGAAAAAAGAATGATTTATTAGTGGAATCTGAGAGCATATTAATATTTAATACTGAAGCATATTAAGAAAACACAAAGGCCACTTCAAAGACTCAGACAACCTAAATCTGTGTTTTCTTTTTAGTCAGTTTTTCTAGTTTTGTTCTTGCAGGTAAACAGTAAACATGTACTAAGTTTACCCTTTAAATAATGTTCCACTGACCAATCAATGACCGGTATATTTCACCATCTTTCTCTCCTCTCTGTGTAAACTGGGCGGTCCTAATCTTGGGTTACGCCTCCGCAAGCATCCTCCTGACCAATCACAGGGCTGCGTGTCTCACTCTTAGATAGGTCTGATCAGTCGTGTTTTATCAGATTTATCTTATACTTTACGTACTAACGTAACTCAAGCTTCACACATTTTAATATTTTATGTAATATTGTGTTCCCTGGGAATTTAAATACAACAATAATGAGAAGATTATACTGACCACATGTCAGCCTCCAGACCCAGAGGTTCATAATTCACAATCTCTGGCGCTGTTAATAAAGCGGAGAGGATTTAATCAACACATCACTTCCATCAGTAACACTGATAACAACACTAATAAGAATATTAATAATATGAATTATAATAATGTTTTTACTTTCCTTACCAACAAACTCTGGAGTTCCGAAGATGTTTTTAAACTCGTTTCCAGCCTTAATCTGGTGAGCGATGCCGAAGTCTATCAGCTTGATCCTGGGGTTGGGAACGTTCTTGTCCAGCAGCATGATGTTCTCCGGCTGCAACAGAAAGCAGAGAATGGGTCTAGACTCTCACAGTGGAGAATATTATGGACATCATCAGCATCAGAATAGCATCAATAGCATTAACGCAATAGCATCCTGGGTAATCTGACCAAAACTGAACTGCTGCTGCACTGGGGTGCGAATCTTTGAGTCAACACAGAAGCGATTCAGTTCATGATTCACTGATTCTTGATTTAAATCAAATCATTTTTGTAAATTTGAACGAATTTGATTCAGTCCAGTACTCCACAGCGATTTGACTCGAGCTTCTTTAAAGACACCCTGCACTCAAAATGTGTTTTTAATGGTTGCGTCCTCTTGGATGGCTTGAGGTATAGATTCATATTTGCTGCAGGTCGAACAGACTGAATGGATAAACACCTGGTAACTGCCGCACAACAAGCGGATTTGCATATTCCGTTCCACACAGCAATCGGATTTCAGTCGGACTAAGGCTGGACGTCACTACACGCCTTTTAAATCTTAACAGGTTTCTAAAACGGAGAGCATCACAAACGTAACGTCAGTCTGTCTCAGAGTTTCTTGCTATTTTGTCCTGAGGCGCTCAGACTAGACGACACAGCAAAGAGAGAGAATAACACACACTATGAGTTTCAGCTACGAATAAGAACTCAAACTCCCAGAATTCCTCAGATCACACGACACACACAGAGCTGAACCTACTGGGCCTGTTTGTGCTTTTACGTGTAGTGAAAGTGCAAACTGGGGATGAGTCTGTGGTGATGAACACTGATATCGCAGTGAGAGCTGGAGAAATATTTCACTGCAAACTGGCAGCTGAGCTGAAACTGTAAAGACAGTGACCTGATCTGGATCAACATTACAAACATTATAAAGTGATATCAGCTCTTATCTGCCTGTGTTCATACTCAGCTCCTCTGTCTCCGCTGTTCAGGCTCGTCTCTTCTCCTTTCTCTCCGCTCTTCCAGCTCTCTGATTGGCTGTTTGAATCCCTCACTGAGTTCATCTCCGACCGTCTCTCACTGCAGGACTCGTGAACGTTTAGTCGTAAATATTACACGTTTGATCATATCTGAGGGTCTCTGATCGCTCCAGAGTTCGATCTGTTCACTCGTTTCTCCTCTCACACTACAGATAATCCGCACCTGGAGTTACTTCCAATTGAGCTCCTGACCTGGAGAATCGTTCAAGATTGTGAAAATCGGTTCCAAGGAACAAATCAGGGCTAAACTTGGGTAAAACGTCATGTAGTCTGCGCCCAGCCTAGTTTAAATGCACGTGGCTAAAACCTCATCAGGATACAGTCCAGACACAGGAAGAGGTGTAAACAGGGTCTTATTTTCACTTAGAAAATCAACCTGATTGAAATGCACAGGAACTCGACTGAAGATTAAAAAAGAAGAGAGTCTTCTGCTCTTGGAGGTTTTTATAACGAGTGCTCAGAAGGTCTAAGTGAGAACCTCAGGAGTAAAAAGTGTATTTAGGCCCTGAGACCCTGCGGCTCACCTTGAGGTCGAAGTGAGCGATGTGTTTGGAGTGCAGGTAGTGAACTCCGTCCAGGATCTGCTTGAGGAACTGCGTGGCCTCCTCCTCGGTCAGGGACTCCTTCTCCGCCAGGAAGTCGAAGAGCTCTCCTCCCGACACCAGCTCCAGGATGAGGATGACGTCGGTCTTGTTCTCGAAGATGTCGTGCAGGGTGATGATGTTGCTGTGCTGGATTTCTTTCAGGATGTTCACCTCGCGCTCGATCTCCTCGCGGCTCACGCCGCGCCGGCTGGACGACAGGCGGCGCTTCTTTATGAACTTGGCAGCGTATTCCACACTGGTGCTCTTCTCACGGCACTTACGCACGATCGCAAACTGACCACTGAGGAGTGAACAAACAAACACACAAACAACGACAGTTAAAGGGATACAGCAGTCCAGGGTTTCTAGGCTGGTGCGCAGGAGCTCCAGCCAGCAGCTGTACATTTTCTATTCTATGCTTCGTTTTCCTCTTTACTGAATATTTCTATGCTTCATTTTCATCTGTGTGTCATTTTATGATGCTATATTTTCATCTAGGCTACTTTTTTATGCTACATTTTCATCTATGCTTCATTTTCTCCAATTTGTTTATGCTTTGTTTTCTACAAACTTTCTGGAAATTTCTGGAAAAGTTGGGACATTTTGTTAAATCCAATAAAATCTGTGATTTTTAATTCTCTTGAACCTTTATTTAATGGACAAAAGTTCAAGGAAATGACTTGTGATGTTTTGGCTGAGCAACCTGATTGTAGTTTGTAAATATAAGCAAATATGAATTTAATGCCAGCAACACCCTCAAAAAAAGTTGACACGGAGCAAAATAAGTATGAAACGTTTAAAGAATATTTGAGTTACACCATTTTGAAACATTCCGCAAAAAGCATAAAAGGAGCTTCCGCCAAAGACTCGGCCTCTGCAAGCTAAGATGGGTCGTGGCTCAGCACTTTGTGCCAAACCTCGTGAGAGAATCGTAAACAGCTTAAAAAGAACATTTCTTTTTGCAAAAGATTTAAAAAATGTAGGTCTTTTACCATCTACTGTACATAATATTGGTGAAACGATTCAGGGAATCTGGAGGAAATCTCAGTCCATGCAGGTCAAGGCCTGAAACCACTGCTGAATGTGTGATCTTGGAGCCCTCAGACGGCGCTGCACGAGAAACTGTCAAGCTACCGTGTTAAATTCCACCACATGGGCTCGGGAGTAGTTCGGAAAAGCACTGTCACTGAAAACAGCATACATCAATTTCATGCAGAAACGCCGCCGAGTTCTCTGGGCCTGAGCTCAGCTCAGCTGGTCCGAAAGAAATGTGTGCTGTGGTAAGACGGGTCCATATTTCTGGTTGTTTTTAGGAAAAATGGACACTGAGTTTTCCATGCCAAAGACGAAAGGGACCATCCAGATGTTTATCAGCAAAAATGAAAAAGCCAACATCTGTCATGGTGTGGGGGGGAGTCGCTGCCCACGGCATGGATGACCTGCATATGTGTGAAGGTATCACTGACACAGAGGTGCACACTGGGATTTTAGGGACACATGCTGCCATTAAGATGAAGTCTTTTCCCAGGTTCTCCATGGGTATTTCAGCAAGTCAGTGCCAGACTTCAGTGGCCTGCTTTATATTTACAAAATACAATTAAGATGGTCAGTAAAAACACTGGAAATCGTGTCTTTGTACTTTTGTTAATTAAATAAAGGTTCAGGAGAACCAGTTTACAAAATATCCCGACTCCTCAAGAAACAGGGTTTGTATATGTTCTGCTTTTTATGCTACTTTTTCGTTTGCGCTTCACTTCTGTCAATGCTTTGTTTTCGTCTACACTTCGTTTTTCTGCTTTGATTTTGTCTACGCTAAATTTCTCTGGTCCTTATCATCAAATTTGTTTTCATCTAAACGTAAGACACTGGCTCTACACTGCCCTCAGGTGGAGTGCAGAGTTCAGACGTCTTATGGTTCCCGGCTCATACTGTGTATCACTGAGCCTCATTCTCTGATATCGTCCTTAACGTGTTCTTGAGAAAAGTCCTAAGAAAAAGTCTGCGTCAGATTCATGACGTGTTCTTAAAGCGCAGAACTGTTCTCACCTTTGTGCTCTTGAGTGTGTTCTTACCTAAGAACAAACCCCAAATAAGAGAACACTGGTAAATATCAGAATCTTTGTGAAAACTGCGTAATTGGGTTTTAAGAAGAAATTCTTTATGTGGTAACAAGCAACTGAACTAGTTCTATTCAACTCTAAATACTTTCTTTTAAATTTTTTTTTTTTTACCCGCTTTTCTCCCCAATTTAGTCGTCTCCAATTCCACCCGCTAGTTAGGACTCCCCCAATCACACAATGCTATCAACGCTAGGAGGGCGAGGCTAACACAGGCTTCCTCCGAGACCTGTGAAACCAACCACCGCTTCTTTTCGAACTGCCGCTCACGCAACGTCACTGGACAGCCGACCGCGCTCGGAGGAAAGCGCCAACCGCCAGATCTGTTACGTCAGCTAACAGACGCCTGCGCTGACTAGCATCGCGCTGAGTGATGGGGGGAGAAGGAGGGGCCATCCTACCCACCCAGAGAGAGCGAGGCCAATTGTGCTCTCTCGGACTCCCGGCTACGGACGGCTGTAGCATCACCAGGGATGGAACTCACGATCTCCTGATGAGGGACAACACTTAGACGGATGCGCCACTCTATTCAACTCTAAATCCTTTGATTGAGAGAATCGTTTGTTCAAAGTATTTATTTAGATTGAACAAAACTAGTTAATTTGCTTTTTACCACATGTAGTAATTTTTTAGGTAGATCTGATGAGGCACTTTTTACACTGTAAGAGTGGTTGTGAATGAGGCCCATTAAGTATAACAGGTATAAAAAGTTCCTTTGCATATCAAAAATCTTGTTTTACTATTTTTCTATGCTGTTTTATTGGACGTTCTGTAAGCCATCTGATCAGTCCCACATTCTGACCCATCTCTAAAGGAGGCTTACAGCAGGAGCAGGACTGAGCAGCACTGCAGAGTCTGCAGACTGTAATAAAAGTTCCTGCACTCTGAGTAATCTGTAATCTCATCTGCACCGCAGCTGCTCTCGGGCAGAGAGTGGGAAAGAAACAGACATAGTGAGGCGATGATGTAATTCTGCACGAAACCTCCACTGCCATATATAGAAGGACTCACTGCGTGACTCACGCTTTGTGTCGAGGCAATTTAAATTCCGAGCGGCTGTGAAAAGGCCTGACGTAAAGGTAAAATAAGCAGTGTGTTTTTATCGCGCTCCCATCGGCGTAAATACGCCAGCGTGTTAGTACAGCCATCCCTCTAAAACACACTGCACTTCATTACAGCGCGACGTGTTTACGCAGCCCTAAAGCAAACAAAGGGCAGCGTAACGGCGTGACGTTCCCTCCTCCACGCCTGAGCTCGACTTAACACACCAGACTGCCTGAAACAGACCAGCTCCGGGAACCGTTAAACACCATCACCACTTCGGTTTCATTAAACTTTAATGTGGCTGTAGGTAAAAGTGCACTACTTATTAATTAATTAACTTATTAATGAATCAGCATGAAGCTGAAAACAAAAATAAATGTAGAAAACACCAAGAAGTCCTAATAAAAGGAACATCCAGAGCGAAGTGCGAATAACATTAATATGCAAAATAATTGTATAATTAAATTAGCTCCAGAATAATTCTGTAATAAAACTAAGATCCAGAATAAAGTTTTAGTAAAAATAATGTCCAGATTGAACTTCTAATAAAATTAACATCCAGAATGAAGTTCTAATAAAATTAACATCCAGAATGAAATTCTAATAAAATTAATATCCAGAATGAAGTTCTAATAAATTAATATTCAGAATGATGTTCTAATAAAATTAACACCCAGAATGAAGTTCTAATAAAATTAACATCCAGAATGAAGTTCTAATAAAATTAACATCCAGAATGAAGTTCTAATAAAATTAACATCCAGAATGAAGTTCTAATAAATTAATATTCAGAATGAAGTTCTAATAAAATTAATATCCAGAATGAAGTTCTAATAAAATTCACATCCAGAATGAAGTTCTAATAAAATTCACATCCAGAATGAAGTTCTAATAAAATGTCAGCTCCACAGCTCTCAGCCCTTCTGCTCCTGTTCTGTCTAATCACACAACCGCCCGTCCCCAGTTTTCCCATTATAAACTGGTCAGCAGTGTCGTACCTGCCCAGCTCCTCGCCCATCTCATAGAACTTCTCCACATCCTCCTGTCTGAAGCCAGCCATGACTCGCTGACCTCAAAGCTGATCCACACTCAGGTCTTCAAACACTGTAACAGAGGAGAAACAGCAGTATGGGAGTTTTTTATCTAATAGATTTTTGTTCAATTCAGCAAATTCCTCCTCTCGGTCTGCTGGCTGTCCGTTCTGTGCGCATGCTGGAAAAAAAGTCTGGTGAATTCAAACAAGAAGCTGAAGCGCTGGACTGAAACTGCTGCACCATTTAACCCCTTAAAATCTCAGGCTTATTACATACTAAGGCTTACTGTTCAACAACTACAGGGACTTCAGTACAAACTGGAACCGGAACGGGATAATTCGAACATGAAGCTGAGGCGCTGAAATGTAACTGCTGCACCATTTAAGGTGGAACGGGATAATCTGAAGAAGAAGCTGGCGAATAAGAAGCCGACTTCGGCTTCATTGAGAGCTGAAATGCATGAAAAGGGATGAGGAGGCTGCTCTGTTTCTGGGCAACATTAACTTATTTTTGCTGAACCAACAGGTCAGTATTGTTTTGTTCTGTTTGCTAATGTTTTTGATAGTAACTGGTTAGTTTTGCAGCAGCAATTGTAGCGACAGTTTGCTAAAACATAGCCGAGCTGAGATTAGCTACGGTACTTGCTGTGTGGCTGTTCGCGGTATTTGTCCATAGAATATTTGCCAAGGACTTTATGTGCATGAAGATCTAAAAAAAAACAAGTTCGCTAGCCCAGTGTTGTTCACCTTGGCAATGCGCGTCAATTAATTTTGGGGGCGGAGCTTCTGAAGGAGCACTGAAGGGAGGGGTGTGTTTGTTTTGCTTTTGAGTTCAAATATCAGCGATCTTGCTCTGGAATCGCTTTCTGACAGTCACAATCTTTATGCAAGCAATGGTTCACTTAGCCTGGTTACACACAACTTCAGTTTATGCAAAACAGCAACTACAGTAAATACAGTTCTGGCCTAAAACCGTCATTTGATACGTAATTCGCCACATTAAGTAGTATTCTTTAGTGCAGCATTGCATCTCTCAGCATCGCTGCTTTGAAAGACTGCACGATTTTGTTTGCTTTTTGTGTTTTTGTCCATCAATGATCCAAAACTACAATACCCAGCATGCATTTTGCAAAAAACATCATACAACCACTGGGAACCCCTCTCAAGGCAATAAAGAAAACGTGGCTAATGTAAAAGCTAACGTACACAGATGTGCTACTTGGCCTCCTGCAGTAACGTTAGCTATCTGGCTCCCTTCACACCTCGAGTGTCCACCCCAAACTGGTTGTAGTTTCTCAAAGGTTCCTCCCACCTTCACGGCGCATCATCGGAAGGGGTCTTTTCTCATCTTTACACTGTTATATCTCACTTTTAACAGTACCGCAGCGCAGCTGTAGGAGGAGAACAGGCGTCTTTACATCAGACGTAGCCATGGCAACACTTCTCACTGTGAAATCTGAGCAGCTCTCTCGCTCATATTCACGATGTGCACTTAGCAGAAGTCGACTTGCATAGAAGCCCATTTCTATATGACCATTTAATAAATCATAATAATGAGAATCTTTCCATAATAATGTCTTAGCACCTCATAATTATGGCTTAGCACCTCATAATTATGGCTTAGCATCTCAATTATGACTTAACTCATAATTTTGATTTATTATATCACAATTATACTTAGCATCTCATAACTAGGACTTCCCCCATAATAATGACTTACAGTCTCACAATTATGACATCTCGTAATTATGACTTAGCACCTCATAATTATGACTTGGTACCTCATAATTAGGACTTACAATCTCACAGTTAATGACTTAGCATCTCATAATTATTACTTATTATCTATAATTATAACACAGTACCTCATAATAATGATTTTGTATGTAATTTATTACTTAACATTTCTGAATTATGACTTGGCATCTCATAGTTATGACATTATCTTATCGTTATGACTTAGCATCTCATAATTATTACTTAGCATCTCATAATTATGACTTACGATTTCACAATTACGACTTACTGTCATAATTGTGACTTAGCTTCTTACAATTATGACTTAGCATCTCATAATTATGACTTAACGTCTCACAATTTTGACTTAGCGTCTCAAATCATCATCTCAAAATTATGACTTTGCATGTCCATTTTGACTTAACACCTCTTAATTACAACTTAGCATCTTAGTTATAACTTATCCCATAATTATGACTTATTATCTCATGATTATGACTTAGCATCTCATAAAATGACTTACCTCTTCATAAAACTGTATAATTATTATAAGACTAGCTTCAGTCATTATTTTGATGTGATTAAACCTCCTCGTTATCCTGATTTCCTGGCTGGCTGTATTCCCTCCAGCGGACTGGAGTCTGAAGTTTCCCTAACTTAATGTGCTGAATGTGAAAATACCATTCCTGCTACATCATCACCACCAGCAACAACACGGAGGAGCTCCAGCGGGACGAAGCACTGAGAGATGTCCACTCCACACCTAATCTGACCACTTTTACTGACCTTTAGCTGCAGAGCGGACACTGTTCACAGTTACGATGAGGGTAAAAAGCTTAAAAACTACATAATCCGGCGAGCCACAGCAAACATCCGCCACTGAACAAGCCCAGAGTCTGAAAGCCGTAAGGAGAGTGGAGGATGATGGACAGCTGAGGAGAGGAGCGGAGAGACAGTCTCTGAGAGAGAGACAGTCTCTGAGAGAGAGACAGTGTCTGAGAGAGAGACACAGTATCTGAGAGAGAGACAGTATCTGAGAGGGAGACAGTATCTGAGAGAGAGAGCCAGTATCTGAGAAAGACAGTCTCTGAGAGAGAGACAGTATCTGAGAGAGAGTGTCTGAGAGAGAGAGACAGTCTCTGAGACAGTATCTGAGAGAGAGAGACAGTCTCTGAGATAGACAGTATCTGAGAGAGAGAGACAGTCTCTGAGAGAGAAAGACAGTCTCTGAGAGAGAGAGAGAGAGACAGTATCTGAGAGAGAGAGAGAGAGAGAGAGACAGTATCTGAGAGAGAGAGAGACAGTCTCTGAGAGAGTGAGAGAGACAGTCTCTGAGAGAGAAAGACAGTCTCTGAGAGAGAGAGAGAGAGAGACAGTCTCTGAGAGAGAAAGACAGTCTCTGAGAGAGAGACAGTTAGAAAGGTACAGATCTTTAAACGGGTTTAACTCAGTAGCTCAGCTTTAGCTCGGCGGCTAACGCCTCTCTGCCCTCCTCTCCGCCTAAAGTCCAGCAGACAGAGCTCGGCCTTCTCATCGCCTCGGCCGCGGATCCGCTGTGCGGCCGCCCGCGGGTCGTTTCTGCCGTTTATCCGGTTGATTGTTGTGTTTTAGGGTTTAAATCTGAGTAAGTTTGTTTACTCACACTCACCGCCCGCTCCGCCGCCTTCCCCGCTGCTTTCCCCGCCGCCGCTGTTTCCGCTGCAGCGACGCCTAGCGGCCAGGCTTGCGTAGTGACGTCACGACGGCGTCTGATGACGTTATGTCAATGCGGTCGTAAAAAACAAAAACAAATAAATAAATCGAGCTTTTTTTGTCATTTTTAACTCTTATTTATTTTACTTTTGTTGTAACTGTTTTTGAGGACTGTTAAAAATATGTGTGCGTTTTTGTCCCTCCTCTTTCACATCAGTCACGAGCTGTTTTTATTTATTTAAATAAAATGCGTATTTGTTACGTAAATTATTTGTAGGTGTGTGAGGCAATGTAAACTTGGTTGAATGATAGAAGTAGAAAACAGAGAAAAAAAGAAGGAAAAAAAAATCCAGGGGGATATTAATCAAGAATATGATAATATGAGAATGCGTAAATACACACTGAAGAAAATATTTATTATTCGAATAACACAATACAGAGAGCGGTGGAAAAGGTCAAAGAAGAAATAAATAAAATACATAATTTAGAAAATAAATTACAACTGATGAAATAATACCAGGGGCGCTGCTAATAATGAATTTTTCATGGCTTTTCTATTGTCAAATAAGAAACTGAGCTTTAGATGCTGCTCACATTCCTTAATAAAGACTACGCATGAAGGCTGAGCTTGAAAATTTAGATTGATGCATGTGAGATTTATCTAGAACAGCTAGATTTATTAAAGTCCCAGGGAGCACAGAGTAAAATACTAAATATGTTTGTATGATGCCAAAATGAGTGTTCTGGTAAACATCAAGCAAAGCTTAAATTAAAAATATAACATAAAAATATGATACAGCACAGCTTAAAAGCCGCTGTTCAGCTCTGTCTGAGAAACTGTGTGGGTGTGGCTAATGAGCAGCTTGACTGACAGCTCCCTGTCCAACACACCTAGCCAGCTCCGCCCTCATACAGAACTAACATTACTGTCCAGCTTTTATGTGACGCTAACTGGACAAAAAAAAGTCACGGATGAACAGATGAACAGACGGTCAGACGCTCAGAAGGACGGAGGAGCAGCGCCAGAGCTGGTTTATGAGGAGCCTGGCCGCTTCCTGTTTCTCCTGTTATATCAAAAAACAGGACTACAAAACAGCAGAGGGCGCCCATGAGCAAGTCCTCAGTGAATGGGAGTAAATTGGAGCAAAACAGCTAAAAACGAAAAGCTAAAATAGTTTCTAATCACTCCCTCCGAGAAACCCGAAGACATTACAGGGTGGAAATTCTCTCTCCAAATTCCCGGACGACAGGCAGCTACGGACAGGTAGCTCGCTAAGCTTCTCTGACTCTGAAACTGTTCTGTGTGGGCGGAGCCAGAGACACAGCCTTGTGATTGGTCAGGGGAATGCTTATGGAAGCATTACCCAGGATTAGGACCGCCCAGTTTATATCCAGAGTAGAGAAATAGGGTGAAATATGTCGGTCATGATCATCGGAACATTATTCAAAGGTGAACTTAATACATGATTAACCTAAATAGAAAGAAAACAAACATTTGGGTTTCCTGAAAATGTGTATATATACATATATAAATATACATATATATATATATATATGTATATATATATATATATATATATATATATATATATATATATATATATACGCATACATACATATATATAACTTGAAAAATGTCTATGAAAAAAGTCTTATCTTGAACTTGGATCTACAACAGTACTAATTATTATTGTTATTGTGTATTAATCAACATTAGAGCGGTCAGAAAATCATGTATTTCATGTAAGTTTAAACATAAACCTGAGGGCCCTCTGACGGAGAAACTCGGGTCTGCATTTGATCGACAGCAGTGTGAGCCACTGGCCTGGCAGCATGCGTCGGCCACGGAGCGAAACGGACCAATGAAACGCCGCAGTGCGCGGCGTGGGCGGGGCGTGTGTGCGTGTCTCAGTGCTGATGGAGAAACAACAACAGTGAGACACCATGGGATTAATGCGGAGCCTCATCTGGACCGCTCTGTTCGTCAAACAGGTACCGAACTCTGCGCGACACGGTGTAGTTTAACCGTACGAGCGTTTTTAACGAGGAACGTGTGTTGATCCGTACAAATAAACAGGTATTTACTAGTTTCGCTGGTGATCCGGCCACCCGGCTAACTGGCTAACGCTGTTAGAGGTGATGGAGCCTGTAGGGCCCAAAACCATTAAACCCATTAAACCCGCTTTACAGCCTTTATTTCTTTTACCAGATAAAATAGAAGGCTCGACTGCTGAGTACTGTAGATGGTTAGGGAAATACAGTGCTTTGGCCTCTGTTAGGATAAGCCGGAACCAGAATTAAAGGGGAATTCCACCGATTTTTCAAAATCCCCCCGTAACTCAGTGTGTGAGGTAATCAGAGTGATTCAGAGTGGTTTGGTGTGAAATGGTTCAGATGTCTTTACAGTGGTGGTGATGGGAACCAGGGGTCGCCATGACTACAACACAAATATAGACATTTTATTTACTATCCAGAACCACCAGTGAACCTACACGAGTCTTCTGAGTTTATATGGAATGTTGATGATGGAAAATAGTGGAAAATCGGAAATAATAAGTTTTCTTTGGGGACTATTTTGCCTCAGCACCTATCCTTTCACCATGAATGGATTTAAAGTTCTCTAAACGATCATAAAACAGCGTCTCAGTCATCAGGCAGTGAATTCATAACCATTTCATGTAGTAACTTTCTGTGAGGGAGCTTTTAGAGGTGGACGCCTGGTTCCTATCACCACCACTGTGAACAGTTCTGACTCAGTAAGTTTATCTAGAACGGAGCGTTTCACACCAAACCACTCTGAACCACTCTGAACCACTCTGTTTATGACTTAACCATCTAATCATGCAGGAATTTTGAAAAATTGGTGGAGTTCCCCTTTAATGTAATGCAGATGAAGGAGAAGCTACACACTTGAAAAAGGGGATTTTTAAAAGGTTCTTCAGATTGATGGAAAATGTGCTGTAGATGCTTCTATAAAAAGAAGTGCTGAATTCTATATAGCACCAGAAGGGCTACAAGCTTGACAGTGTAACAGTAGAAGAACTGTATATATTCTATTACATGTATTCTATATACATCAGATACTGTATATTATTTTTTCTGACAGTAATTTGGTAAAAGGCATGAACGAGGAGCTGCGCTCATGCAGCTAAGTCATTATTTTTGTGTAAATTGAGAAAATAGAGTGAGAATACTGACCTGTCTGATGGTCATTCTACAGAGAACAACAAGATGATGCAAATGTTTGTATATTTATCATAATAAATGGAATATTACATTTTTTATGGGGGGAAACAGGGTTGACATAAAATGTGGGACATGTTAAAATTATTTTTCTGTTAAATTAAATAAATTAATAATGAAAAATAGTTATTTCAACATTAAATTGCTTGGAAATGAACCACATAACACTGGGCCTCGTTCTCCAGTCTCTTCCCAAGTCTGTTCTTAAGTGTGTTCTTGAGAAAGATCCTAAGAAAAAGTCTCCGTCATTGGCGTTATTATCGTTAGACGTCACATTAAAACGATTCTTAACAAATATAGCTTAAGCGAGAGTTCGAGCAACCCTCACCAAATTTCATATTTAGTCATTTTTGTGATTTTTGAAGTTAAAAAAGCTGTAAACACAAAGCTGAAGCAGACTGTTTAAGGCTAACTCTGACTGTTCAGACGTTTAGGCCTGATTATGGTGTCCAACACCAGTCGAGTATGTTGTACAAACCAAGCAAAATACTTTACTTATTATTAAAAATAGACTAAATCCTTTTACTGGTGCGCTGCCTTTTTTGTTACTACTGAGCGCTGATTGGTTAGCATTACTGCTACTGAGAGCTGATTGGTTAGCATTACTGCTACTGAGAGCTGATTGGTTAGCATTACTGCTCCTGGGCGCTGATTGGTTAGCATTACTGCTACTGAGAGCTGATTGGTTAGCATTACTGCTACTGAGAGCTGATTGGTTAGCATTACTGCTCCTGGGCGCTGATTGGTTAGCATTACTGCTACTGAGAGCTGATTGGTTAGCATTACTGCTACTGAGCACTAATTGGTTAGCCTTACTGCTACTGAGAGCTGATTGGTTAGCATTACTGCTACTGAGAGCTGATTGGTTAGCATTACTGCTCCTGAGCGCTGATTGGTTAGCATTACTGCTCCTGGGTGCTGATTGGTTAGTATTACTGCTACTGAGAGCTGATTGGTTAGCATTACTGCTCCTGAGCGCTGATTGGTTAGCATTACTGCTCCTGGGTGCTGATTGGTTAGCATTACTGCTACTGAGAGCTGATTGGTTAGCATTACTGCTCCTGAGTGCTGATTGGTTAGCATTACTGCTACTGAGAGCTGATTGGTTGGCGAGCGGAGCAGCTCATTGACTGTTTCCGCTCATGAATGTACATGAGGCGCCGTTTTAAACTCCTATAACTCGAGTTTAAAAGCTCTTAAAAATATAACAGCAGTGTTAAAATGTTTTATGCTGTGTTCAGGAACTAAATGTATCCTTTTACATTAAAAATGTTTCAGCATTTATAAACTATAATTCTGCTCAAATGCTCCATATTAACCCATTCATTCTGGACTTACTCAGGAGCGCCCTCTAGCGTTTAAGAAACTCGGAAGTTCCCAGTTTTACTCAAGAGAAAAACTTTCTGATTGTCTTATTTTCACACTGCAAACATACGACGTCGTCACAGTGCGACAGTGGAGGCCTGATAGTGGAGGAAGTTTGACTGTTTGTCATTTTTTATAATAAACAAAACGTTTCTGTTTGGTTTCTGTGTGATATTTTAGCACTATACAACAGGTAGTTCCGGCCACGCGAGCTGATTGGTCGAGAAGCGTTCTAACTGTGCTGTTATTTCACCATAACATCACACTGTATCACTCCGCTGAGACGCCGTCGCTAAGCAACGACTTTGACAGCTGTAGGAGACGCTCAAGCCATCTGAACGTTTTTACATTTGACCGACAGCCGATTTGGTCCGACTCTGAAGATGAGACCACACTA